AAATTACTCAGTCTGAACAACAGAAAGGAAACAGAATTAAAAAAAAAAAAAAGAACAGAACCTCGAAGATCTGTGGGAGGTCTATGTCAAAGGATCTAACATTCTTGTCACTGGAGTATGAGAGGAGAGGAGAAAAAGGGCTGAGAAAGTATTCAAAGAAATAATGACTGAAAATTTCCCAGATTGGGCAAAGAACATAAACCTACAGATTCAAGATGAGCAAACCTCAAACAGAATAAACCCAAAGAAACCCACACCAAGACATATCAGAGTCAAACTTCTGAAAACTAAAGACAAAGAAGAAATCTTGAAAGCAATGAGAGAGAAGACACCTTACCCATAGGGGGAAAATAATTTGAATGATAACAGGGCCATGTTGATATACTTCGGTAGTGATACTATATCTGGGAGAGCAGTTGCAATCGGAATCATCACCTGATTAAGTTTACAATAGTCCACAATCATTCTCCAAGATCCGTCAGGCTTCTGCACGGGCCAAACTGTTGAGCTAAATAGGGAAGTGATGGATTTCACCACGCCTGCTTCTTTTAAGTCTTTGATGGCGACATTAATCTTTGCAGTTCTCCCCAGGTGTGTAGCGTTGCTACAAGCAATGAAAGGCTACTTTCGCCAGACACTAGAGGGCCAGTTAAAGGGAGGATTAGAGGGACTGGGGATTCAAGATTGTAAATTTCATCTGAGCCTAAACAGATGTCCTCACTCCACATTTCAAGACTCAGGTCTTCTATCTGTAATCACTTTTGTTCTCCTGAAGTATACCCATTAGAATTTCCTTTACTGAGTTTCTGCTGTTTGCAAACTTTCTCAGCTTCTGCTGGTCTAAAAATGTCTTTATTTTGCCCTCATACTTGAAAGAGATTTTCACGGGGATAAAATTCTGTCAGCTATTTTCTTTCAGCACATTGAAGAAATAATTCCAAAGGCTCTGGCTGCCAGTGCTACTCTTGACAAGTCAGCTTAACTATAAGTCTTTGAAAGGCAAAAATTGAAGGCAATATGTCTTTTTTTTTTTTTTCTGGCTGCTTCTAAGATTTTCTCTTAGTTTTATTGCTTTCTATATTTTACTATTATGTACCTAAGTATATATTCCTTTCTTGCGAGTTTTTGAGCTTCTTAAATCTGTGGTTTAGTTTATTAGTTCTGAAAAATTCTTAGCCATTCATTCTTCACATATCGCCTTTATCCATTTCTTTCTCTTCTTTCCTTCTAGAAATATAATTAACATGTGTTAGACTTTTTTACTCTAATCACTATGACTCTTATTCTTTCTTATGTTTTTCTTTTCATTTTTTGGTCTCTTCAACTTCATTCTGACCTATCTTCCAGTTTACTAATTCTTTCTCCATTTGTATCTAATTTGCTGTTAAAATTGCTCTTTTCAGTTATTAGCTGATTCTTAAAGTTCTATTCAGTTCTGTTTTCAAAACTGCTAGTTTACTTTTTAGATTTTCTTACTTTCTGCAAATATTTTCAATCTTGTCGTTTATCTATTTAAACATAAAACTGTTTTTTTTATGTGACACTTTATTCCAATACATATCTTCAGAAGGGCTAATTTACTTCTGGTTCACTCTTACCAACGGGTATAGCCCTTTGTGTTTCAAAGTTATTATGGGAAGTATCTCTTATTAAGCTCTTCACTTTATGAACTTTGGTCTTTGATTTATGATCCCTCCTCCCCCACGAGGCAATCAAGTAAAAGTCCAAATTTGCCAAGACTGGAAAATGCCCTCAGGGGAAATTCTGCTTCTCTCACCCTTTGTGGAAGGAGCAAGGAGTAGTCAGTGAGATTGGTGCTAGGCAGAAGAAATCTTGAGGAATTTCCTACCACCCCAGGTCCAGTGCAGCTCTGAAAAGTCAGTAGTCTTTCTTCCTGTTTGTCTATCCATCCCCTCCACCAAATTGTATTCCTGGAGATAGGCAGTTTAAACTCAATATTAGATTTGTGGATTAGAGTTTTAAGGACTTGGTGGTTCAGCCGATGATCTTCTTTAGCCTGGTAATTCGCTGCAAGCCCTTACACCTAGTACAATCATCATACGGTCTCAGCTCAATGAAGCTTTGACTCTTCGGTTTGGGAACCCAAGACCAATACAGCTGGTTCATTTTTAACTAATTCAGTAAAAACTTCAAATCAGGCAGGCTGCATGTTTCTGGAATCAAAGTGTATCAGTGACTACTTGGAAAATTGACTGTAGGAGGCCACTGAGGAGGCCTAACAATGATGTCTGTTTTTCCTACCTCGGTTCTGAATCAGTTGTGGATCTGAACAAAGACATCAGCAGAAGAGGTCACTAGGTTGGAGGGCATAGCATATAACTGAGGGCAAGTGACTTCCTAAAACTGAACCCCAGGATGAGAGACATTCCTACCCAGCCCCAGACATTGTTGGACCACTGACAATGCAGACACATTTCACTCTGTCATCCTCATGAAGCACAAGCTCCTTTGGTTTACATAACATTATTATGTATGACCCATATAAAATTATAATAAAAAGCACACATACCATTGAAAAGGAAATATTTTATCTAAGCCTAATTGGCTATTCCATGTTTTCCAATTAACATTTATTTGTCATTTTTGTTAGTTTCCTAGGGCTGTTGTAATAAAATACAACAAAGGGGGTGGCTTTAAAGAACAGAAATTTATTGTCTCACGGTTCTGGAGGCTGAGAGTCCAAGATCAGAGTGTCAGTCTTATTGATTCCTTCTGACGCTTTGGGTGAGAATCTGTTTCATGTCTCTCTCGTAGCTACTAGTAGCTCCAGGTATTCATTGGCTTGCAGCTGCAGAATCACATGGCATCCTTCCTCTGTCTGTCTTTTATAAGGACAACACTCAGATGGGTTTAGGACCCATCCAACTTCAGTAGGACTCATATTAGCTTCTCTTAACATCTTCAAAGACCTTATTTCCAAACAAGATCACATTCACAGGTATAGGGGTTAGGACTTCAACATATATATATATTTTTTTTAGGGGGGTGGAGATACCATTCAATCCATAACACTATTTATTTATTCCTTTTCTCCGTTGCTAACATGACATATAGCATATTCTAGCAGCTGTAATTCTGGCTAAGAGAATGTTCTCTAAGGGGATGGAGAATCTGTTTATTTGGTCTGTCCTGTCTTGGGCATCAAAACGTTAACAGCAAAGACCAGATGGTTTTCACTCAATGCATAAATCTGTCTGTGATACCTGGATGGATTCTTTAACTGGGACTTTATGAAGACAGTTTGAAGTTTAGCTTGAGAATGATTGAACCCACACTCTGGACTAAGAACTATATCAGTTTACTATACTGCTAACCTAAGCATATAATTATGCCACAAAATCTAAAGGAAATACAACTTGAAATTTATTTTTACCAAGAACTACTGAGAACCCTTAACTCTAGATCACTAAAAAATAGCCTCTTATCTGGACCAGTCTGTATTGCTGTTCTCTCACAGACAGTTCCGCAGATTCCATATTCTTGTCACATGAGTCTGCTGGGGTATTATTTCCTCATGTGAAAACTCTTACTATTATTTGCAAAAAAAAATTCTCTCTTTGCTCATTCACTTTTTCAGTGTTCTGTTAAAGTGCTGTGCCTTATTGTAACTTGCTAAGTGCCATGGGTTGAATTATGTCCCCCCAAAAATGTGTGTATCAGTTTGGCTGGGCCATGAATCCCAGTATTGTGTGGTTGTCCTCCATTTTGTGATTGTAATTTTATGTTAAAGAGTATTAGGGTGGGATTGTAACACCCTTACCCAGGTCACATCTCTGATTCAATGCAAAGGGAGTTTCCCTGGGGTGTGGCCTGCACCACCTTTTATCTTACAAGAGATAAAAGGAAAGGGAAGCAGGCAGAGAGTTGGGTACCTCATACCACCAACAAGGCAGTGCTGGCAACAGAGCGTGTCCTTTGGACCTGAGGTTCCTGTGCTGGGATGCTCCCAGACCAGGGGAGGACTGATGACAAGGACCTTCCTCCAGAGCCGACAGAGAGAGAGCCTTCCCCTGGAGACGGCGCCCTGAATTTGGACTTCTGGGCTACTGGACTGTGAGAGAATAGACTTTTCTTTGTTAAAGCCATCCACTTGTGGTATTTCTGTTATAGCAGCACTAGATGACTAAGACACTAAGGAAGATTTATTTCTCTTCAAAGTGTGCTGCAAAATTCCAGCTGTCTGCCCTATTCTTTCTCCCTTTCTGGGAACACTGCAGTTCTGAAGGACACTGAAGTTCTGCCCATCTTTGCTCTTATTTGACCCATTTGTGACTTGTATGATTTCTGAGAAGAACAGAGGTTTAAACTCTTTTGGCAGGAATAATCATTTTTGATGGGGATTCAAGCTGAAAATGAATCTTACTCCTTGGGCAGGTACATGGACACCCATACCATTCCTTAATCGGAGCAGTTAGTGGTTTTCCTGTGCAATCATTTCAAGCCCATTATATTGCAGATACATGAGTACTTTCTAACAAACAAGTGATACCCAAAGCCAAAATGTAAGAACTTACAGGAGAAAAAACTTTAGCATTGAATTAAATGCTAACTTCTTGGCTCCCAAGACTTCTTTTGCTTCTCTCTGTTGTATTGTCTTATATTTTTTCTCTGAATCTGACTCCTTCACTAGACTATGGCTACCTTGAAGGCAGGAACTGTGTCTGGTTTATTTCTGTTTCTATCACCTACCACAGGACATGACACAATGCAGAGTATCAGTAAAAACTTTTATAAATGATTAGATGATGAAATTTTATTCATCACATTAATTGGTGGAAATTGCAAAGACTACAATTACTCTGTAGTACCAGTGAGAAGTCTTCTTGGTCCCGTATTTGAAAACCAGGTTGTAGCTCTGCCCAAATGAATGAAGCCAATTTAGGCTGCTGTAATTCATTTATTCATTTAAAAATATTTATTGAGTTCCTATTCTGTGCTAGGCACTGTCATTGGTGTCCTGGGAGCTAAATTAGTTGCATCTAAGGATTAAGGGCCCTAGAACACTGTGGGTGCTGGGGACATGCCATTTTGGTAATAGCTGCTTTGACATCCTTATTCCTCAGGGTGTAGATGAGGGGGTTGAGAACAGGAGTGAGAATGGCAAACACCACGCTGCCCATGACGTGGAAGTCAAGGGGCAGGTCAGCCCTGTAAGACACGTAGGCTATGGCAATGGATGAGTAGTAGGTGCTGACCACCAGGAGATGGGAGCTGCAGGTGGAGAAGGCTTTTGAGCGCCCTTCATGGGAGCTGATATGAAGTACTGAGGCCAGAATGTGGACATAGGAGAGAAGCACCAGAAGAAGGGGCAGGAATGACACCACCATGGCGATGCACAAGCCCATGAAGGCCTGGGGCGTGGTGTCAGAACAGGAGGCCTGGACCACAGCCAGATGGTCACAGAAGCAGTGGTAGACGTGGGCCACAGGACCAAATGCCATCTGGGAGGTCTGTACAACTGCTGGGACGGGCAGGAGGAGGGCAGTGAGCCAGGCACTGGCTGCCAGTGCAGCGTTGGTCTGTGGGGTCATGCGGACAGGGTAGTGCAGTGGGCGGCAGATAGCCACATAGCGGTCATAGGACATGACCACCAGGATGAAGGCTTCTGAGCCGCTGAGGCCATGGAAGAGATACATCTGCAGGAAGCAGACAGGGAAGCTGAGAAAGTGGTCTTCCAGCAGGAATAGGGACAGCATCTTGGGGACAGTGGTTGTGGTAGAGAGAATGTCCAGGGCTGAGAGGTTAATCAGGAAGAAGTACATGGGCTTGTGGAGGCTGAGCTCTGCCACTACAGCCAACAGGATCAGGGTATTACTCACCAGGATGAGCAGGTAGATTAAGAGGAAAATCAAGAAGACTGGGAGGAAGAGGGACTCTGGCAGAGAGGGGATGCCTACTAGGTAGAAGATGGGTGAGGCATTATCTGATCCATTACATATTACGGCTTCCATAGTGGATCAGAGCTGGATGTCTGCAGACAGACACTGGGAAACTCAGGACACATCTGGAAAACAGAGAAATATTAACTAGAATATTCATCTTTTTCTTTCCAACTATGGATCTCAGTCCCAGCACTCTTTTTGGAAGAATTTCATGTCACAGTTGAGATGTCCAGGACGGTAAGTTGTCTAATGAGCAGTGTTTGAAAGAGCTGGGCTTGTTTAGCCTGGAGGAGAGGAAGACTTGGGGTGGTGGATGGGGGACATAGTGGTGGTGGAGGGGTAGACACAAATACCTGAAGAGCTATTGAAGGGAAGGGATAACACAAAGAACTAGAACTAGGGCCAGTGTTAGCAGCTTCAGGGGCCCCCAGTTTAACCTCACACATTGAATAACCTTCTTACAATCAAAACTATCCAATAATGAAAATTGGTGAATTCCATATGACTAGAGGTATGCAAGCTGGGCTCTTTCTAGTTGGAATGCTACAGAGGATATTTACTACTTGAATAGGAGCTAGACTGAAAACTTTAAACAACACTTTAACCCTTGATTCACTGGCTCTAAAGAAAAAAAGTAACATAAATGAACCATACAACAAAATTATGAGGTTGAGGGGCAAATTTAATCCATCCAAGAGAAAAATTCTTGAGAAGCATCCATTTATGTTCAAATGCCAATTATAAATCGAGAAGCTGCTTTATTAGTTCACGTAGCTCCTTTAAGAATGTCTAATTTTTTAGCCTTGTTCCTGCTACGGCAAATGAAGGAACATTCTGGGTATGGTAATGTTGGTAAACCACTTACCAGATTTTGCCCAGTAAAGTCAAGAAAGGTGTGCATCAGGGTTGTATCCTTTCACCGTACTTATTCAATCTCTATGCTGAGCAAATAATCTGAGAAGCTGGACTATATGAAGAAGAATGAAGCATCAGGATTAGAGAAAGATTCATTAACAATCTGCGATATGCAGATGACACAACCTTGCTTGCTGTAAGTGAAGACGACTTGAAGCACTTACGATGAGGATCAAAGATCACGGCCTTCAGTATGGATTACACCTCAACATAAAGAAAACAACAATCCTCACAACTGGACCAATAAGCAACATCATGATAAATGGAGAAAAGATTGAAGTTGTCAAGGATTTCGTTTTACTTGGATTCACGGTCAACGCCCATGGAAGCAGCAGTCAAGAAATCAAATGAAGTGCTTGGTAAAGTAGAGGGTCAGCGAAAAAGAGGAAGACCCTCAACGAGATAGACTGACACAGTGGCTCAAGCATAGCAATGATTGTGACGATGGTGCAGGACTGGGCAGTGTTTCGTTCTGTTGTACACAGGGTCACTATGACTCGGAACTAACTCGATGGCATCTAACAACAACAACATCTATAGCCCAGAATCTTATTTTTTTAATGAATAAATTTTAATATGAACAAATGCACATATGTATGTTTTAAGTTCAAATAAAACATTTTAGTTTTTTGTTTTAGTTTTTTTAATTCTCTGCTCTGACTTTTAAGTATGTCAGATGAGAGCTTCTAACTACAGTTAGAAGTAAAGCAGACTAAAACAACTTGTATATAACATACTAGATTAAATTTAGGTGCAAATTTATATTTGGAATATAAATGTGCTTCAAATAATTGGTGAGTAATTTTGCTTGGCACCACCAGACTCTGAGTTTATGGCCACTTTTAATTGTTTGGGCCATGAAATGCATTAGGCTGCTGGCTGTTGCTGGGCAGTGCTAGGCTAGTCTGCTGCTCTCTCCACCCAAAGAAGGGACCCTAAGTCAGAGGCTAGGCAGCCTTGTTGCTGCTTTTGCTGTGGCTTTGGTCTCCTCTAACGCTGTTAAATGGATTCCTGTTTTGTGCTTTGATAAGCAAAGTCCTTAATGGGATTCTAATTTCTCTGGTGATTCCAGTTCATGCCCCTGCGTCCAGTTGCCCAGTGACAGTCTCCATAATATATAATACTGGTCCTCTAGGAAAGCTGAATACCAACCAATCAGTGTGTCTTCCCTATTTGTACACTAGATTGGCCTCCAACATTACCTTCCCTGACCATGTTTGGACAGACACTTTGGTTATGGGACTTGGCTTGCTCATTTCCTTTGGTTCTTGGTACAGTGCATGAATCCTGTGTCCATTCCATACTCCACAGATTGACCTCCAACTCATGTGTGACTTCCCAGTCATAGTTCCAGGTCCAGACTTCTAATATGTCCAATACTTTGAATGAACAAATTCAACAAATTTTCGTTTTTTTCTTTAAACCAGGTCACAATGCCTTGTCTATCTCCTTCGTCAAGAGAATGGTTAGAGACTTTAGCCGTCGTGACTTGTAAGCAAGCTGCTCTCTGGCTGCAGTCACCTCCCACACCATAAGCAGAAGGCTTGAGAAGGCAGCAGAGTATAATGGCGAGAAGGAGGAGCTCGGGGGTGAGGCTGCTAACCCTTTGACCTTGGACAAGTTGCTTAGCTTTCTGAGGCCTCACAGTCATTATTTGTAAATGGAGTTTACACATAGCTGTATTTTAAGGATTAATTCCTAGTATACCATTAGTGCTCAATACAGGTTAATTATTTGGAAGATCAGACAATTCAGTTTCTAGGCTTTCTATGTATATTCGATGAATTTTCTTGATTACCTAACTTGAACTCTAATTTTTTAGGTTAATTATAAGTAATAGAGAAAATGTATTTTCATTTATGACGTTTAGAGTATAGCATAGCATAATTAACACTTTGTTACTAATATTTTATCAGAATATTCATTTTTTCTCTTCAAATGTACAGTTTAAAAAGCTCTACTTCATTTTTAGCTATAATCAACTTATGAGTAGCCAGTTTTTCCTCATCTAAATTATCATCAGATTTTATAAAGAAATTTAAGGCAGATGTGAGATACACTTAATCAATATTTATATTTCAAAAAACTTTATTGGAATGTATTTAATTAAATAAAGACATCGATAGTAGCTATAATTCGACTTGGTGAGGTCATTACTTTCTTTTGTGTTCATAAGATTCTTTTTAAGCTGCTATAAATTTTAAAATATATCTGTGAGGCTAATAACAATAGTGACTGATATTAGCATAACACTTTCTGATATACAAAGAGTTACCTATTTATAAGACATTACTTAATCCCTTCCAACAACCTTACAAGGTGGGGAGCTGTATTTTTCTCCATTTACAGAAGGTTAAATTGAGAGGGAGCCAGGACTCCAAATCAGCTATCCCCTGATGTTTGCACTGCACTAGCTGCCTCAGTAAACTTTTCCTAAGCAATGGCTACCACTTTGACTCACCTCCTACAACTCTTCCCCTCCCACACTCAGTTCCAGCCAGACTGGCCTCCTTGTCCTTCTTCCAACACTCTAGGCAACTCAGGGCATTTGCACTGAATAGCCCAGAATCTTGACTGCAGTCGTTCGATATAAGGCCTTCCAGCCCAGCTATCTCTAACAATTCCCAAATGAGGCTCTTTTACTTGAGACCTTGTGAAGACAACTGAATCATTGGTTGAGAGTGAGTAAAGCTAAGCCTGGAGTGAAAACCCTGTTTGGTTTACTCTAAGATTCCCTTGACTCTAATTTTGTGCATCTGAACCTAGAGGGTTGCCAATGGCCTCCGATAAAGACTTCAGCTCATGAGCTCTAAGAAACCGATGGAAACCCTTTTTGGAGGATGGTTGAAAGAACAATTTCTGTTCTGCTCTGGATTCCATTTCTCTTCTTCCATGCCCTACTCCAGTCTTGTCTTATTCCATCTGGGCAGTGATGTTGTGTCCCTTGAATGAGTGCCCTTTGTCTTTGTCTTGACATTTCCATTAACTTCAGGATTCCCTTTCTGTGATATCTTCATTGTAGTACTGATAAGGAGAGCTGCTTCCTCCAAAGAACACCACAAAATGCTGCCTGCTTAACCCAAGAATGGCTTCCCTTTCTGTGTGTCTGGTTTGCCAGGGGCTGTCTCTGCCTCAGCCTAACCAGGGTGCCCTGTGGCCTGTCTTTGTCTCCTGTCTCTTTGTCATATCATACAGAAATCGACCATCTCGAGTTGTCTGACTGTCCTTTTCTTAGCACTTAAAGTCTCATGTTCCAGGAAGACCCTCAGTCCTGGGCAAACTGGGGCTATTAGTCGCTGTGGGAGGGCAGAGGCATTGTATATGCCTTTGGAAAAAGGCATGGTATATACCTCTGTCTTATGTGCCTGAATGGAATCCAAATTGAAGATGAATTCTCCCTCCTGTTGGGCAAAAACAGACTCCAGATTACTTCCCTTCACTCTATTAGTCTTCCCTCCTCCTGGCTGCTCTACCTCAGCAAGTGTTACTATTTAGCCATTTCATGTCCACTACCCTGAAGTGGTTAAACGCTTGGCTGCTAACCAAAAGCTCAGCAGTTTGAATCCACCAGCCGCTCCTTGGAAACTCTATAGAGCAGTTCTACTCTGTGCCATAGAGTTGCTATGAGTCGGAATTGACTCAACGGCAACAGGTCTTTTGGACCCTGGAGTCTTCTTTCCTTGGCCCCAGTTCGGAAGGTGCCACAGAGAATAGAAAGTCTTGAGAACCAGTGTCACAGAGAAGACAAAGAGATCTATTAGAGTAACACCCCTCCCCCCACCAACCCCCTCCTTCCCTCCATCTCCACTCTCCCTACCACTCCCCCATACCTCCAGCTCCAGAGGTTGTTGGTGACTGCATGTCCAAAGTGAGTGTTTTCAGCTCACAGGATAGAACTGAGGGAAAATGTTGACTCATCCTTTACTCTGGGCTTGTTCCTCTAAGCGATCCAAGGGCAGGTTATGTTGACATTTGTATTCCTGCCTCTTCTACCGCAGTGATCCTTTGAGCAGAACCCCCTTGGTTTTCCCAAAACCACCTCCAGCTTCTCCCTCTTCTAACAAAGTGTTTCTCATGTCCCAGAATATGAAAGAGTGGAAATGGCCCTGCAGATACTTGAAACTCTGTTCCTTTCTTCAAAAATGAGGAAATCA